ATTATGGAAAACTTCCACTGATTTTATATTCAATAATTCTCAGGTCTGAAGTAACAATTGTAAATATATGAATCTCTGTCAAGTAAACAGTTTTAAAAACTTTTTCCTTTGATTTGAGTCCTTAGTAATGATCATCTTTGTGATTTTTAACGCACTTTTGATGTTTAATTTCTCTGCATTCGTTCAGCTAACTTCTGTGGAGAACTTTATTTTTCACTTCCTGGCTTAGTTATTAAAGTTTGTACCGAGTAGAAGAGTAACTGAGATTATGTTTAGTGATGGACTCTGGTCATGTGGGTGCCGGAGGGCACAGTGGTTTTCCATTTTATTTATTACTGTGTTGCAAATGTGAGCAACAGTTTTACTTTTTCTACTCAAAGGTGTCTCATACTACCATTTTTATATAGTGTGTTTAGTAATGTTTTTGTTGTTATCGTAAAGCTTGTATTTATTTACTACCATAATTGAAAATAATTTGATTCAGGTTTCTGCTTTCTCTCTCTCATTGTAGAGCTTTAACTTGTTTACTGTCCTGGTATTCTAAAATTCTCAATTGCCATAAATATTTTTATATTCTTTTGGATTGTCCAATCTAGCCAGATTTTTTTAAAGGTGGGAAAGCTAATAATAGCTTTTAAATTTTTCAGTAGTTCTGTTTTACGTGGTTAATACTACCTGCATAATAGCTTGGATTTGTCTCTTGGCCCCCAAAGTCTATAATATTTACTGTCTGGCCCTTTATACTATACTTTTCCTTAGGTTCATTCTTCAGCAGGAAACCTGTTTGCATTTGGGCAAGTCAAAAATGCTCTTGTGGAATTAATAACAGCATAATAAAGAACTGAAACAACTCAACATACAAAAATTTTTTGATTTAAGAAATGGGCAAACGATCAGACTAGATATCCTGAAAAGAAGACATATAGATGACCAACAGGTGTATGAAAAAATTTCACCATTGCTAGTCATCAGGAAAATACAAATCAAAACCACAATAAGATATCTTACCCCAGTTAAATGGTTTGTGTCAAAAAGACAAAAAATAACAGAATGTGGAGAAGAGATCTCTTATACATTGTTGATGGGAATGTAAATGAGTGCAACAATTATAGAAAATAGTTTGTAAGTTTCTTAAAAAACTAAAATAGAGCCACCGTATGATCCAGCAATTTCCCTGCTGAGTATATATTCAAAAGAAAGGAAATCAGGGTATTGAAGAGATACCTGTGCTCACATTTACTGCAGCACTATTCATGATAGCCAAGATATACAGTCAACCTAAGTGTCCATCAGTCCATCAACAGAGGAATGGGTAAAGAAAATGTGGTATATATACACTGAGGAGTACTACTCAGTCATAAAAAAGGATGAAATCTTGTCATTTGCAGCAACATGGATGAGCCTGGAAGTTATTTCATTAAGTGAAGTAAGCCAGGTACAGAATGACAAATAGGGCATGTTTTCACTCATATGTGGGGGCTGAAAAAGTTGATCTTATGGAGCTAGAAAGGAGAATGGAAAATACCAGAGGCTGGGAAGGGAAGGGTCTAGGAAGAGGGGGTGAAGTAAGGTTGGTTAATGAGTACCGAAGTACAGATAAAAGGAATAAATTCTGGTGTTTGATAACATGGCAGGGTGACTATAGTTATCAATAATCTATTGCATATTTATTGCATATTTCATATTTCCCAATTTGATTTGGTCATTACACATTATATGTATAGACCAAAATATTACATGTATGCCATAAATATATACAATTATTATGTATCAACAAAAACATGTTGAGAAAAAAATGCCCCTGTGGAAGCAGTGCCCTGTATGACCAGTGACAGAGGTACTCATGCCTTTGTTCGGTCATTGTTGCCTTCTGTTTCAACATCTAGTTTCTTTTTCATTCTGTGTCACATTAGTTTGACTTTTGAAAAATAGCAGTTTCTTTTTATTTTAATTTTATTGTCAATTATTTTTAGAAACAGGGTCTCCCTCTGTCGCCCAGGCTGGAGTGCAGTGGCGCAGTCTCAGCTCACTGCAGCCTCAAACTCCCTGGCTCAAGTGATCTTCCCACCTCAGCCTCCCAAGTAGCTGGGGTTACAGGCGCGTGCCAACATGCCCAGTTAATGTTTTTGTTTTTATTTTTTTGGAGAAGTGGGATCTTACTATGTTGCTCAGGCTGGTTTCAAGCTCCTGGCCTCAAGCAATCCGCCTGCCTTGGGCCCCTCAAAACTCTGAAATTACAGGCCTGAGTCACTGTGCCTGGCCAAAAATAACTGATTTCTTTTAAACTTGAATGCCATATAGAGTATATTTTGAGAACTAAATTGGCTCTTAGTCGAATGTTTTTTTCGATGATATCCAGCTCCCCATATAGTTACTCTCTGCCAAGGACTATGGAAGGCACTTTTACCGCCTTTCTTCTACCCCTACTCCAGCCCCCTTGAGATGATTAGAGGAGTCTCCATTTTATAGTGAGGTAATTGCCCCAAGTCTTATAGCTGGTAAGTGGCAGCGTGTTACTGAACATTTCCTGCAGTAATCTAAAGCAGGCAGTGCACAAAAGGAGATGAGAAGCTAAACTAGATATTGAAAGTTTATCCTCAGTTATTAGTTCTGTACTGGAATAGAAGCTTTTCATTGAAATTGGAGGAAAATATGTCTATTCTCACTAGCATCTAACTGTTTTTCATTATTCCAACATTTCTTTGAATTTCCTTGCTGATATTCTGGACTTTTAACAGAATGCAACTATTTTGAGGCCATGATTACAGGCTAGTGTTATGGGCATCTCACAAAGGCAGATTGCTCAGAATTGGTCCTAATAGGCTTTTCTCTGGTCTTTTCCCTTTTGTGTACTTAATTTACAGACTGCAGGGCCTCCAAGGGCTGGAGCTGTCTTGTGTCTATCCCTGTATATCCATTACTTGGCACTGTGCCTGGCCATGGTGGACACTCAGTATTTGTCAAGTAAATGGGTGAATTGTAAGTTGGAGGCTCATCGTAGTATAGTTGAGTAGTCTAGCTGGAATTTAGTTTCCTGTGTTCTCATCTCTGCCTCCCTCTTACTGTGATTTTTGTCATTAACTGTTCAGCAGTTGATAAAGTGAGGGGTTTGTGAGGCGTCCTGATACCGTCTTTTTAGATCTGTAATTGTAGATTGTGAACTTCTGATTCTTCCCTGGGAAAATTTGCCCCTTCCCTTCCTACTCTATTGAGGTCATCTTCCATTTCCTTGTCTGGTTGTCACTTATTTGCTTCCCTTTTTTTTTTTTTTTTTTTTTGAGACAGTCTAGTTCTGTGGCCCAGGCTGGAGTGCAGTGGCGCGATCTCGGCTCACTGCAAGCTCCACCTCCCGGGTTCACGCCATTCTCCTGGACTACAGGCGCCCACCGCCGCGCCCAGCTAATTTTTTGTATTTTTAGTAGAGACGGGGTTTCACTGTGATCTCGATCTCCTGACCTCGTGATCCGCCCGCCTCGGCCTCCCAAAGTGCTGGGATTACAGGCGTGAGCCACCGCGCCCGGCTTGCTTCCCTTTTTTTTAAATCTAGCTTTTTTGTTTCAGATATTTTATTAATAAGAGCTTCCCAATTGGAGTTTTATCCACTGTGGGTTCCTTCCACTATTCAGTAGTCACTTTTTAGCTTTAAGAGTCAGTGCAGAAAGAGAATTTAGTGAAGGGATCTGGTCAACCTACAGCTTTGACTCTTACAACCCCAGTTATCTGGCATAGTGTCCAGGATGGAGGTGTCTTTCCAACTTGCTTGGGTCTTTATAAGAGAGTAGCATTAAGATTTCAATTGTTGCATTTCAGAGAGGCAGTGTCTGCATTGTGTTTGGGAGCAAGGACCTGGCAGCCAAGCTCCTTTGAATCTAATCCTTAAGGCACGTAACTTTTCTGTGCCCCAGTTTTTTAACATATAAAATGGGGCTAATAACATACTTCCTCCTACAGTTATGGTGCTGGACACAGTCAGTGCCTGGATTGTTCACAGTCAATGCCTGTAAATGTTCTATAAGTGATGTGCTGTTATTGCTTATTTATTTTTTTAAATTATTTTTTTTTTTTTCGAGAAAGGGTCTCACTGTGTGGCCCAGGCTGGAGTGCATTGGTGCTGTCTTGGCTCACTGCAGCCTTGACCTCCTGGGCTCAAGTGATCCTCCCACCTCAGCCTACCGAGTAGCTGGGACTATATGCGCACACCACTAGGCCTGGCTAATTTTTAAAAATATGTATTTTGTAGAGATGCGATCTCCCGTTGTTGCCCAGGGTGGTCTCGAACTCCTGAGCTCAAGCCTTCTACCCACCTCAGCCTCCTACAGTGCTGGGATTACAGGCGCGAGCCACTGTGTTCGGCCATTTATTGATTTTTGAGCTCTTACAGGGCTCTTCCTCTTTGCTGCCATAATTGTGCTTTACTTATCTTCATCAAACATTGTTATGATCCAATTGTAGACCCCTGTGATTTTTCACCTCTTCAGGGACAGGAACCATGTCTTATCGTTATGTCTCCAATGCCCTTTGCAGTGTTTGGTCCATTTGTATTTGGGGAACTTGAAGTTGAACTTGACCACGATAGAGAGGTGTCTTTGGGGTTTACGTAGCCTCAGAGATACTGCTCTCATTGTGTCTGATCAGCTAGTGAATATGCAGAGTGATAACTGGGCTTAAAGGGCATTGAAAAGGATGAAGTCTGTTATGCTTTCTGAATTGCCCAAATATAGGGGGCTGATTTCTCTTTTACCTTCATAGCAGAGTCAACATTTCAATTTAGAAAGTAGGTGGTCCAGTGTAAAACGAGGGTATGCCGTAAGCAGTTAACACAACAGAAGTTAGGAAAGCAAAGTGTTAGGAAAATAGCGTGAAACATTAGTCTGAATAAAATAAAGAGACATAAGGGCCAGAGTTTTTGTTTATTGATGTGTTTTTGTCACTCAAAAAAATCTCAGCAGTTAAATGTGGAGAGAAGTGCTGCTAGAATGAATCTTTCTTTTTGCCCTCAGGATTTGACAGGATCTGAACTATACACCCAGTCGGCCAGCCTCCTGCATCCTGTGGTTTATACTACTGCTATCATTCTCCTCTTATGTCTCTTAGCCGTCATTGTCAGTTACATATACCATCACAGGTAAGAAATACATCTCGACAAAATAGATCTGCGGACTTTGATTTGAAGGACTTTATTTCACATTTAATTAGAATAAAATTGAGTTTGTTATCATCCTGTATTTCCAAAGTAAGGATGATTACTTTAGAATATATTCATGCCTTATTCATTTCGTGCCATTAGAGACATAAATAATTAGTATTTGAGATGATAAATTCAGTTTTTACAGCATCCAGTCAGTTTGCTGGGTTTGTATCTAGAAAAGAATATGGGAAATATGTATTGCAGACTGTGCGGTGAGTCACAGGGGCAATAGGATGTAAAGTGAGGCAGAAGTTTCTTACCTGCAGAGTTACGGGGTACCTCTAGGTATCAGACTGTATTATTACTATTATTTTATGACTTTTTGCCTATTATAATATTCTTTATTTTATAGATGGCATTTTTAAGAAAGTTTGTGGCATTTAAGCTTGGGATATGTTTTTTGTTCATTGGAGGCAAAGCTATAGAAACTTTTATTTTGTGGTAGGAAATAATGAACTAAAAGGATTTGCTAAGCAGATATTCACCTTCCAAAACGTTTTGCTAGAATGTATTTTCCTGTTTAAGCTAGAAGTGTATGGCATTTCTTGACATTTAGTTAAGAAACAAAAGGAGATTTTGATATATATAAAAAAGAAAGACTTCAGCATTTTATTATGAAAGTCCAGGAGGAAATGCATTGAGTATTTAGACCTGTGCCAGTGGGTCAAAAAAAGACCCGTTGGCATGTTGCAGAAATCTCTAGGTAGCCAAGCAGGTAATCCAGTCATCTTAAGACATCATAGTAACAAAAGCTCATGCGTTTCTTACTGTGGAGAATTTCTTTAGCATTTAGTGGGTGCAGTGGTTCTATAAATGGCTTTTTGTTTTTAAGTGCGTAAAGTTAAATGTTAAGAAACTAGTTCAGGTTAAATGATTTCTCAGATCTGTGCGTGTGTGTGTGTGTGTGTGTGTGTGTGTGTGTGTCTGGTAGTATATATTTGTGAAATAAAGTGTTTAAATATCAAATATTTAACTTTTGCCTTTGATGAAGTTGGAATTAACTTAAGATGAACATCATAGTTTTCTCCTTCATATGTACTAGCCTGAATATTAATATTTTCTCTCTTTTTTAAACAGTTTGATTAGAATCAGCCTCAAGAGCTGGCACATGCTTGTGAACTTGTGCTTTCATATTTTCCTAACCTGTGTGGTCTTTGTGGGAGGAATAACCCAGACCAGGAATGCCAGCGTCTGCCAAGCAGTAAGTCAGAGTGAAAAACCGAAATGGAAAAAATTACTGGTATTAGAAAATACTTTCATTAACTATAAAAAGAAAAAATCATTCTTTAACACCTTTTCTTTAGCTGATTAAAGTTAAATTTAATGTCTATCACAAATAATTTGCCAGTATACTTCCCTGTTTTAAATTACCATTTTGCAACTGAATATATAACTTAAACAGCTCATCCCTTTATCATTGGGAATTTAGTGTTACACGTTATGGCTGTTATTACAATGCCTATTATTTATTTTTAAAATGTATGAAATTCTGACTTTGGCTGAAAAAGAAGTGACATTTTCTGATAATACTTTAAAAATGATTTTATGTGTTGACGAAAATGTAACAATTAGAAAAAGAGTTAATCATAAAGATATAAAAATGACACTAGGTTAGGTAAATATGAAGAATTAAAAAATATCTTACTCTTAGTTTCCAATAAGTTATTACATATGTAGCCTTAATGAACAGTTTTCTTGCAGCATAAATATAAAAATGGAAATTCTTCGATCTATGAATAGAAAATATGTAAAATTTTATTTCTGTGTTTGTATATTGTTTTTCACATGCATGATAGCAAGAAGTATAACGTAGTAATTGAAAATTCAGGCTGCCTGGATTTGGATTTCAGTTTACCATTTATCGACTGTGTTACTATGGGTGATCTGTTTAACCTTTTTTTTTTTTCTTTTAAAAGTGTAATTAAAAAAATACATAACATGTGATCTCTGTAAGCAAATTATTACTGTACAGTACAGTATTGTCACCTGTAAGCACAATCATCGTGTATGATTGAAACTCGGTATGCATTGAACAACCACCCCTTTTTTCTTCTTCCCCAATCTTATGGCAATCACCATTCTCTTCTATGAGTTTGACTACTTCAGATACCTCATATAAGTGGAATCATGCAGTATTTGTCCTTCTTTGACTGACTTGTTTCATTTAGCATACTGTTTCAAGGTTCATCTATGTTGGTGAATACGATTTTCCTCTTTTTTATGGCCAAATAATATTCCATTGTATGCAGAGACCACATTTTTTTATCTGTTTGTTGTTGATGGACATACAAGTTGTTTCTGTCTCTTGGCTACTGTGATTAATGCTTCAGGGAACGCAAGAGTGCAGGTATCTCTTGGAGATGTTGATTTTAATGTGTAATCCTTCTGTGTCTCAGTTTTCTCACCTATAAATTAGGAATGATAAGTTGTTGGATGATGTGATTATTTATGTTAAAAAACTAAAGTAATTTACACAAATTATTAGAATTAATAGGAAAGATTAGCAAAGAGCGACTGCTAGTATGCAGAAATATAACTATGAGAAAACATAATGAGCAGGTAGCATTTACATAGTGTCAAAGACTATCAAGTACCTAGAACTAATGAAAGATGTTCAAGATTTATGGGTAAAATTAAAATATGTATGAAAGAAGACCTAAATAAATGGAAAGATACAATAGGTCAAAGGATAGGAAGACTTAATATCAGCGATATGGCAATTCCTTTTAAGATTAATCTGTAGAATTTTTTATGAAACTCAATAAGATGATTTTTAAATTTATGTGAAGATAAATGGCCAAAGAAAGACAAGACACTAATGAAAAAGAGGAGCAGAGCCGGAAGACTGTCTTCTAGTCATCAGGGTTTATGAGGCTATGGAAATGAAACCAGTGTGGTATTAGCGGTAGGCAGAGATAAATTGGCCAATGGGATAGAATAGAGTCCAGAGGCAGACCCGCGGGAACTTTGACATACAGCAGAAGGGACGTGCCTTGTCAGCTGGGGAAGAGAGACCACCATTAAGTAAATGGAGCTGGAGAAAATCCATTTGGAAAAAGATTAAACTGGGTCTATACCTCATGCCACATTTTAAAAAAGTCAACTCCAGGTGGTTTAAAGACTTACATATCCAAGCCAAAATCTTAAAATCCTTTTAAAAAAAGTTGGAGACCTTAAGATAAGGAAGGCCAGTAAGACAGTGAAAGGCATTCACTAGAAAAAAAGTAATTTTGACTAAAAATAAGAACTTGTGTTTATCAAGAGTCCTTAAAAAAGCTGAAAAGATAAGTTACAGATTGGAGGAATCTATTTGCAATCCATACAACTAACAGCATTCGAGTAAAAAATATATCAGTAACTATAGTCAATGAGAACACCACAAGTCAGAAGAAAAAGTAGCAGGAGAATGGACAAGCATGTCGTAGAAGAGCGAACACACAGGTTCCGCACATGTGTGCAGAAATGTTCAACAGCATATGGGGGTCACGGAGATGCCAGTGAAGACGATTAGTTACCATTTTATGCCTTTTCCGTCAGCAAAAATTAAGCCTGACAGTGCCAAGTCTTGATGAACATGTGGACCCACAGGATCCTTTTACGTAGTTGGTGGGAATGTAAGTGGACGTCCCCTGGGAGGCATTGCCTTCTATGATTACATGTTCATGTACCCTGGAACCCAGCAGACCCACTCCTGTACTCAGAGAGTAACCTTGCCTGTGTGCACATGAGTATGAGCATGGATATGAATATTCATTGCAGCACTATACACAATATCAAAAACCTGGAAGCAACCCAAATACCCAACACAGAGAGAGTGAACAAACAAACCCTATGGTATTATACCAGAGTCAGAAGCAATGAATTATAGCAATGCAGAGTAGCACAAATTAGTTTTAAGTGAAGAGGTGAAAAGTAAGTCCTATAAATTAACATTCACCATGTTTTTTTTTTAAATAAAGGTAAAAATCACTAAAATAAACAGCTCACTTTTAACAAAAAATAGGTGCAATAAAACTATAAAACAGCAAGGGAGTGATGAACAGAGGATGTAGGGTGATGATACAGAGGATATAACAGGGGGATAGTTACCTCTGATGAGGGGGTCATATGATTAGATACAGGTTATTGACAGGGTCCTACCTTGTGTCTTGCTGGTAGATTCTTAGGTACTTATACTGTTAATAATAACTAATTAAATATAGGCAGGTTGTGCTGGGCCCACCCATTAGACTGTCATGATACTGTGGCTTATGATTAATCCAATATTGTATATCTGTGATCCAGTTTGAAATGTGTGTATGTAAGAATCGTTGAGAGGATTAAATGACTCATGCATCTCAAGAGTACCAGGCATATACTAACTGTTCAATAAGTGTTACCTGTTACCACTATTATGTTAGTGTTGTTGATGAAATTACCTCTCATCTGTGTGATATATTTTTGTTTGAGGCTATTACTACACATCTGTAAACAAACTGCCTACAAGAAGTCAGATGATGGGTCTCAGATCAACTCCATCCATGTTTAGAAGATAGCTCCTCTGTGTTCTCAGTCATGTGGCTGACTCCCAGTTACCTTGCAGGTCTCACTTTATCGTTACTGTTTCAGAGATTCTGTCCCTATACCTGTATTATTCTGTTTTCACGCTGCTAATAAAGACATACCTGAGACTGGATAGTTGATAAAAGGAATGAGGTTTAATTGACCCACCGTTCCACATGGCTGAGGAGACCTCACAATCATGGTGGCAGGCAAAGGAAGAGCAAACTTGTGTCTTTTGTGGCAGCAGGCAAGAGAGAGCATGTGCAGGGGAACTCCCCTTTATAAAACCATCAGATCTTGTGAAAGTTATTCACTATCACAAGAACAGCTCGGGAAAGACCCACACTCGTGATTCAGTTACTTCCTACCCAGTCCCTCCCACGACAGATGAGAATTATGGGAGCTACACTTCAAGATTTGGGTGAGGATACAACTAAACCATATCAGGTCCTTACTAAAATTCCATGCTGCCTATGAAACTTTATGATTTCCTATTTACTATCTCTGACCTGTAAGCTCTCCCTGGACTCCAAGCTCTATAAGCGTAAGAATTATAGTAGTTGGTTCACTGGTGCTTATCCAGGGACCAGCACAAGGCCTGACCCATAGTAGGTGCTGAGCAAATGTTTACTGGGTGAATGAACAAAAAGAAGCCTCTGTTTGCACGTTAGAACGCATTCAAACCTGGAGCCATTTTGACTCTCTTAGAAGAGTACTCAGCACACATTGTCGATAAAGGTCTTCATTGTATCTAAAAGTATTCATTGATTTCATGAAGCAGACACATAAATTTATTTCACTAAGGAAATGAATGGAAAGAGGCCGTTGTAAAGATGACTGCCTTACATTGTCCTGAGTGGAATTTTCTATTGTTTCTAAATGGAAAAAGGAATTGCAGTGAGTTTTTAAGGCTTCAAGAACAAGTGCCATTAAAGGTTTACAAAAGAAAAGGGAAAGGCAAGTCTAGACGTTTCACTGTCGTTCTCTTCTGTGTTTATAATGTGTTTCCCTTCGATGAAAGACATAGCATCATTCTTATGTTTCTGACTCAGACATTCCTTGCTTCACTTTGTCATTGTAATTCTCAATTCAGGTAATCACCAGCTCAGAGCGCAGCGGTAGAATGCAAAACAGACTAGCCTAGGATTCCAGATCCTAGTAGCTAGGTTCTAATTTTGTGTCCGCCAGAACAGCTTACGTTAATAGTCTCTTAACCTAGTAGGGGCTTAATGTTTCTTCTATAAAATGGGTCAGGGTAGTTCAGTGTTTGTTAAGGTTCTTCCCTCTCAAAAACTGAGCCCTCATGTGTACATGTTGTTATGTACAGTTTGTATTTGTACATAATCCATGTAGTTTTGTCTTTATTATCTCTCTCTGTGAGCTCACGTATTTTATGAAGAGCATGAATGGGTTGTAATGTAGTTTCTTCCCACACAGTGATTGATTGAGGTTATTAAAGGTGCTACCCGCCAGGTACTTCTCACTCTGGTTCCTAAATTCATTTCAGGTAAGACCTTAGGTGCTTTCTACGACCTTTTGCTAAAGGTGCTGAAGTTCGAGAACTAAGAAGTTGAGTCCCGAAGTCAAGAGCATCAACTCAAGTCTGGAAGGGATCTGTGTTTTGGTTCATGATACACTGCTAAATAATTGGTCATTAATTTTTTGGTCCTTGGTTTTCTTAGCTATGCTGTAAAAGGATTCAGCTGGATCTTATCTAAGATACCTTGTTGCTCCACCAATCCATGATTGAATTTATTAAATATCATGCCAGCCGCCCTTGTTAGGTGCCCTTGAGATCTGTTATTTAGAGGATTGCTGCAGTGGCACAAGAGATGTATTTGGAAAAATCTAGTCAGTGAATATTAAGACCATTCTACTTGTCAACTACTGTGCATGTGTTATGTCTTAACTTTCATATTAACCCTAGGAGGTAGTTTTTCTTTGTGTATTTCATAACTATATAAACTGAATCATAGGCAACTGAAATAACTTTCCCCAAGTCACTAGGACCATTAGGTGGCAGAGGCATGATTCAAATGCTAGTCGGTTTGATTCTGAGTGCCTCTCAGCACCTATCACTGTGCTTTAGTACTTAGTAGTGGGCAGCGTAGGAGAGTAGAAAAGGCAAGGGCTTTGGAACCATCTAACTTCAGTTTGAATCACAGCCATGTTATTGACCATGTAATCTCTGGTGGATGACTTCTCTCAGTCTTAGTCTCTGTTTTTGTATCTTAAAATTAACACTGACCTAATGGTGATGATAAAAGGATGAAGTGAAATCACATGCAAGAATATGTTTTTGGATACATAGCTGGCACTTATTAATGGAAGCTGTTAAAATTTTAATTGTTTATGTATTCATTGTCTGTATGCTTGTATTCATCATAAAGTTTTTTTTTTTTTTTTTTGCACGGCTGCTATGCATGTTGCATGGTTGTAGTCTTATTTGTGGTTAAATGAATGCTAGTTTGTGAGAGTTTATAGTTAGATAACAAACATACAGAGTGGAACTTTTTAGGATAATTATTTTATACCCATTTTACAACTTTGGAAATTAGTGTCCCGAGGTAAGGTGGCTTTCTTGAATAATAATCTACTGCATTTAACTAATTATTTACATGCTCTATGAATTAGATTACTCCTAGACAATTTACAGAATTGCTATGTGCATCTCTGATTTATTTGGAAGAAAATGTGGTAACAAGGTTATATTTCGTGTAGATGAAGTGTCAGATGGAGAATACAATAGGAAATACTACGTTCCAAAAGATAGGAAAATCTTTTGTACTAGATTTTAATCACTCTTTTTTTCGAATCTTGTAGAATATTTACTGATTTGCTTTCACGACTGTGTTAATAGATGTCATCATACCTCTAAAATTCCACTAGTAATAATCAGGCTTCAGTATCTTTAAGAGTAAACCTCCTCTGGAAATTTAGAAATGCCGTAGAAAACACTTCAGTGATTAAAAGATGGGTTTTGTTCCCTATAGAAAATTCTTTGTTTGACACCTCCTGTGTTGAAGTTACTTTTAACCTTTTGTATTTTAAAGCCCCGTCTCATTCGTTTGACCTTTGTGTCAGAGACACCCCCAGCAATAGTAGAGTTGACCATTTTGAATCAATATCTGATTTGTTTTGAATTTATTGGTTTCTGTGCATCAAATTCATTTATTCTATTTTTACTTAAAATATTTGGTATGACTTTAGACAGCTCAAAGGGTTATTTTATGCTCTCTGTTCCACTTCTGTGTATAAATTTTGCTTTCACAGTGCAGTCAGCAAAACTAATGGGAACCACGAAGCCACTTTTCTCTTTAAGAAGATCGTTTCTGACGTTTGTAGTTGGGCCAGACGTGATCCCTTCTCCCAGCGCCTCAGAGCCATTGCAAGGTTTACCTGGAGAGGAACCACCCTGGCTTTCTCCTGCAAAATAAGATTTGGGCTTTCAGGTCACCAAGTTTTTGCTGCAGATTTGTTCTCATTAAAATAAACTCTGGACAGCGGTCCATGCTTTTATAATTGACCTCTGATTTTCTTGAGGTTGGAGAGGCATCCCTTTAGAATGACAAAATTTTTTCTTGGAATTTCATTAATGGAATTTTACCTGTAATAATTTTTTTTTTTTTTTTTTTGAGACGGAGTCTCGCAGTGTCGCCCAGACTGGAGTGCAGTGGCGCAATCTCTGCTCACTGCAAGCTCCACCTTCCAAGTTCACGCCATTCTCCTGCCTCAGCCTCCCCGGTAGCTGGGACTACAGGCGCCCGCCACCTCGCCCGGCTAGTTTTTTGTATTTTTAGTAAAGACAGTGTTTCACCGTGTTAGCCAGGATGGTCTCGATTGCCTGACCTCATGATCCGCCCGCCTCGGCCTCCCAAAGTGCTGGGATTACAGGCGTGAGCCACCGCGCCCGGCCTTACCTGTAATTATATTAAAAAGCAATGATTAAAAAAAGAGAGCAAGTTACTGGTTAAGAAAGCTGGATTATGTCCTTGATACTGCAGTGACATATGACATTTACTTTTCTTAAACTAAAATTTAAGCCTCTTTCATTTCCTCACATCTTCATCTAGAATTTCATCCTCAACTACAGTTCCTTCATATACAGGTCATGTGATAAACAGAAACTTCAGTGTATATCATTTGCATATATTGCAGTTATCCTATACTTACTGAGCACCTATTATATCCCAGGTATTGTGTCCATTCAGTTCCTACGAAACCCCCAGAGGTGGTGATTAATAATTTTCCACTATTAAATTGAGGAAAGTTAATTTCAGAGAGCTTGCGTTATTTCCTCAAAATCACATTCTTAATAAGTAATATAGTTATTTCTGCTAATTGCTTGTCACGTATAGGAGATTTGCTAAATGCTTAATGTGGACAATTTTACTTAACCTCATAGTACTTTTATATTATTCTTGGTTCTCAAGTGAGGAAGCCAACACTTTAGGTCTTACGTGACCTAAAGGTCTTATGTGACTTTGCTGAGGTCACCCAGCAGGTAAGAGGTGAATACCAGTTTAAAAATCAAGGGAAATTTCATTTCTGAGTTCCCCGTCTTAACCATCAATATATTATTATATTGCTTTGTGACTGCTACAATGTATAAAAGCTCTGAATTATATCTCAGGTCTCTTACTCTGGAACTTACTCTGTGTGTGCTGTGGCTTTCGCCCTGTGGTTATTTGTGCCCTCTATATATTCCTCCTTAAAAAGAATGTTAGAAAATGAACTCTAAGCTGGGCGTAGTGGCTCACGCCTGTAATCCCAGCACTTTGGGAGGCTAAGGTGGATGGATCACCTAAGGTCAGGAGTTCGAGACCAGCCTGGCCAACATAGTGAAACCCTGTCTCTACTAAAAATACAAAAATTAGCCAGGCATGGTGGCACGTACCTGTAGTCCCAGCTACTCAGGAGTCTGAGGCAGGAGAATCGCTTGAACCCAGAAGGCAGAGGTTGCAGTGAGCCGAGATTACACTACAGCACTCTAGCCTGGGTGACAGAGCGAGGCTCTGTCTCAAAAAAAAAGAAAATGAAGGCTAATGTATAATGTCACACCTATGAAAAACACACCTTTGGTTTAATGTCCAGGAGCCAGTTCCGTCCGTTATTAAGGGTCATCTTGGGTATAAATGGTAGCTTGTGGGCTTCCTAGAGCCAATTGTCGGTTTGTGTATTTGAGGAACGTGATTCCCTGTCATGCGTCTGTTAGAACGTGGTGTTGCCTTAGCAGGCAACAGAGTTGATTATTAAGATAGGCCTTCCTGCTGCTTTCGAATCAGACTTCTGAAACTTACTTACCAATTTTGAGATAAGCCGTAATAGGAACATTTTTTTTCTTAGTTTATGCATTCTTTGATCTTCCTTGTAGGTTGGGATAATTCTTCACTATTCCACCCTTGCCACAGTACTATGGGTAGGAGTGACAGCTCGAAATATCTACAAACAAGTCACTAAAAAAGCTAAAAGATGCCAGGATCCTGATGAACCACCACCCCCACCAAGACCAATGCTCAGGTATCTCCTATCTTTGTTGTATTATCTTAAGGGTCAATTAAGTGTTTTCTCTGCTTTCATTGAAGCATAATTGTAAATTATAACAAAATTGCTGAGTGAATTTTGGGAAGTAAAAGAACGGACTTGTACGCAGGACCTGCCTGGTTTTGAAAATGACTTTGGCTTTGAAAATGGCTTAGGCATCCTTCCAGCGGCGAGTCCTCAGTCAACTTCTGTACCCTCTCTGAGCCTTCCAAGATCATCTCAGAAGTGGGGCTGATTCTCCCATCCTCGAGTTGTGAGGAATAAATGAGTAACTGGGCAAAGCACTTACGATGGGATCGGCCATGTCATAGGCCCTATGAAACTGTCAGCTGTTTTTATTTCCTTGAGGTCATAATCTCAAGTATGTATCAATTTAATTATTCTGTGCAAAGGACAAAAAGACTTGTAATATGTCTTTCCTATCCATTGTAATATGAAAAATGGTAAATGAATGATCATGCTGGATGAGTAAAATCTATCAGTGATGACCAAGCCTGTTGAATGCCTGATATGTCACTGGCCCTGGGCCAGGGATTTAGAGAAGACCCCCTTGCCCTTTGGGAGTTTATAGTCTGCAGGAGGAGACAGGCATGAGCACTGACTGTGCTGTGTGAGAAGCATAGTGGAGATAAGTTATTTGAAAATGTAAAGCAAGAAGCCATTAATTTTGGGGGTGGGGGTTATTAGGAAATGCTGGGCCACTGGCATGAACCTTACTGTGATCAGGACAAAGTGTAAAAGTGAAGAGTGAGCTGAGGAAACCTTAAGGAGTGCAGTTTGGCTGGAACCTCAGGTGTTTGGTGTCAGGTAGCAGGAATTCAGGATGGAAGCTGGCTTTGAGTCCTCTGTGGGTCCTATTTAAAATGTGGGCAGCCACTGAAGACTTTTAACTAAGGGAGTGGCCTGACACAGTGTCATTTTAGAAGGCAGCTATTGCTCTAGTATGCAGTACTAATCAGAATCCCCAAGAATAAGGAATTCTGCTGAGGTTATTAGGGTAGCCCCCACAAAGACCAGAACAGTGTCATGGAGAACACAGAGGAGGACCCAAGTTTGAGAGGCTTGAAGCAGTTTCTCTAGGACTGATGTCCAGCTGGATTTAAGAGATGTGTGAGGGAGAGAAATTTGAAGAAGACTGTGAGTTGTCTATTCTAGCTTGACAGAGGGTGTTTCCATCAACTGAGAAATAAGATAGGAAAAGCAGAAAGGGCAGGTGGGTGGGGGAGACGTGGAGAGGGGAAACGGGGCAGTAGGCTTATCAATACTTTCTTGTGGAGTGTTTACATTTTTAGAAGTCCAGGGCTCAGCAGAGAGGACAAGCTAGAGATTATGTAGGAGGAGCAGGAGACATTTCCTTACGTTATTCATTATCATTGAAGCCATGATAATGAATAGGATCTCCCAAGGGGAAGTTAGTTAAGAAAAGATTGATACTTGGACCATACTAGTGTTTAATAGATGGGTTGTGGAAAAAAATCACTGGATTTTTGGCTGCAGAAAGAGAACACCCGAGACCATGAAAGATTTGGGGGAGAGTGGTTCCGTGTTTGACAAGGAGCAGCAGGGGTGCTCGGTGGCCCCAGAGTTAAATTGTAGGATGAGATTTGACACCTCCCTCACTTCTATTAAGAGAAATGAGAGATGATGGTGTTTGGCTCAGAAACTTGGGAATCTGAAACTTGGGAACCTTAAGGAGCTGTTCCTTCCTGTAAGGTTCTGAGAACAAAGATACGAGTTAAAGAAAAGGCAGCTTGGGCTTCAAACTCTTTGCAGTCCCCAAATGACACACAAGTATCCTCTTTGCATTAGACTGCTCAAGGTCTGCCCTTTAACCCTGCTTTCCCCATATCCTTTAGCTTAAGGAAGCCTGGGCAACACTGCCGTCTGGAGGGTGGGACACGGGATTTGCCCGTGAGACTCATCTGACCCCACAGAGGACATTTTTAGCATCATGGTAGTAAGTGGGTACAGCCAACAATAAGGTGATAAAGGCAAGGAAGTCGTGGTACTAGTGTTTGCAGAAGGAAGAGAGAAAAGAAATGGTAGTTCCAGGAAAGTTTTAGAAGGTGGGGAAACTTGAATATGTGTGTGTGTGTGTGTGTGTGTATAGGCTGGAAATATAGGCTATATATAGAGGCTGGAAATAGGCTGGAAACTTGAAAAAAAATGTATGTATAGGCTGGAAATAAGCAGTACAGAAGATTTTAAAGATGCAAAATAGGGTTATTTAATAACAAGAAGACCAGGGGTTTGGTGACGTTGAAAGAAGAGTCACAGGGTGATAGGGCCCAAGATTAATTTTGGAAATAATGCTTTCTTTTCAGGTAAGAAGCAGATGTGAATTAGTATAGCAGGAAGAAGGGGAAGGTCACGTATTATTGGCATCTCTCTAATCTGTGGAATGGAAGGCAGAGTTACAGTTTTATAGGGTAATTAGTTTTCTTTTCAGCAGTACTAACATCATGTTAAAGGATTTTAGTAACTAGGTACGATGAAGGAACAATATATGGACAAATGTATCACAGATACTGCCTTTATCCACCCAGTGCAAGATTTGGGGCTATGTGTCAGGAAGGAGCAAATGCAAAATTAAGATCGACTCACCCAGGAGTATCCATCCTGGATGGAAATTTCTTTTTCAGAGAGATCAAGGAGCTCAGAGATGACCACAAAATGTTTCTTTGTAGGACCAGTCACTGCTCTGTTTCAATCAGCTTTTATTGCACCATCATTTCCCTTGCTGTCCCCTGCTGCTCTGTGGAAAAGGGGTCAGGTAGGGCCTCTGCACTCTGTGAAGCTGCTGGGATCCAGATACCCTCCTTACCTCAATCTCAGTGGACTGGGGATGAGATACACAGCAGTGGGCAGTCCTGGGACATGCAGGCTGAGCTGAACATTAATCAGTAATTAATATGTCGTTACATTTTTTGTATGAACTATGGCACTTTTCAGTTCACCGGCTGAATCTAAAAGAAGCCAGTTCCCTCCCCACACACACACAAAACGCTGAAATCCTACCTGCAGGCACAGAGTGTTACTTTGCGTGGCCACAAGGTGGCAGAAGCTGATCAGCGTTCCTCTACTCGGAAACTCACTAGACCTGTGCTTTAAAACAAGAAATCTAAAAAACAAAACAAAACCACATTACTGCTAATAAATCAGCCTCCCGAACGAAACTCTCAGCTTATTATTGGAATAAAAATAATAGTTAATCTTCAGGGAATGACTTTTGAAGTACTGAGATGTTATGATAGATAATATGTTAAAAAGCGGAGTGATGAGTGGTTTTTCTGTGGTTCCTCCTTCCAGATTTTACCTGATTGGCGGTGGTATCCCTATCATTGTCTGCGGCATAACCGCAGCAGCGAACATTAAGAATTATGGCAGTCGGCCAAATGCACCCTAGTGAGTATTTTGTATTCTCTGTGTATATGACCCAGTTGTTTCTCTTTTAAGTAGTTTCTAGGCATCAGAGGTGATTGCAGTTTCTTAAATAACGTGTTGAAACATGAAGCATCGATCTGGTTTACCATATTCTTTTCCAGTTGCTGGATGGCGTGGGAACCCTCCTTGGGAGCCTTCTACGGGCCAGCCAGCTTCATCACTTTTGTAAACTGCATGTACTTTCTGAGCATATTTATTCAGTTGAAAAGACACCCTGAGCGCAAATATGAGCTTAAGGAGCCCACGGAGGAGCAACAGAGATTGGCAGCCAATGAAAATGGAGAAATAAATCATCAGGATTCAATGTCTTTGTCTCTGATTTCTACATCAGCCTTGGAAAATGAGCACACTTTTCATTCTCAGCTTTTGGGGGCCAGCCTTACTTTGCTCTTATATGTTGCATTGTGGATGTTTGGGGCTTTGGCTGTTTCTTTGTATTACCCTTTGGACTTGGTGTTTAGCTTCGTTTTTGGAGCCACATGTTTAAGCTTCAGTGCGTTCTTCATGGTCCACCATTGTGTTAATAGGGAGGACGTTAGACTTGCGTGGATCATGACTTGCTGCCCAGGACGGAGCTCGTATTCAGTACAAGTCAATGTCCAGCCCCCCAACTCCAGCGGGACAAATGGAGAGGCGTCCAAGTGCGCCAATAGCAGTGCGGAGTCTTCATGCACAAACAAAAGTGCTTCAAGCTTCAAAAATTCCTCCCAGGGCTGCAAGTTAACAAACTTACAGGCGGCTGCAGCTCAGTGCCATGCCAATTCTTTACCTTTGAACTCCACCCCTCAACTTGATAATAGTCTGACAGAACATTCGATGGACAACGATATTAAAATGCACGTGGCTCCTTTAGAAGTTCAGTTTCGAACAAATGTGCACTCAAGCCGCCACCATAAAAACAGAAGTAAAGGACACCGGGCAAGCCGACTCACAGTCCTAAGAGAATATGCCTACGATGTCCCAACGAGCGTGGAAGGAAGCGTGCAGAACGGCTTACCTAAAAGCCGGCTGGGCAATCACGAAGGACACTCAAGGAGCCGAAGGGCTTATTTAGCCTACAGAGAGAGACAGTACAACCGACCCCAGCAAGACAGCAGTGATGCTTGTAGCACACTTCCCAAAAGCAGCAGAAATTTCGAAAAGCCAGTTTCAACCAGTAGTAAAAAAGATGCGTTAAGGAAGCCAGCTGTGGTTGAACTTGAAAATCAGCAGAAATCTTATGGCCTCAACTTGGCCATTCAGAATGGACCAATTAAAAGCACTGGGCAGGAGGGATCCTTGCTGGGTACCGATAGCACTGGCAATGTTAGGACTGGACTGTGGAAACACGAAACTACTGTTTAACGTTGCTGGGCTTCCTAGGCAGAAATTCATAGAAACTGTGATATTCACATTCCTTCAAGCTATGAACATTTAAAAACTGTTTACAGCCACCATAGGGATTCAAAAGAATTTGGAATAAACTTTGAAGTTTTGGATTTTACTTATTTTTATCCCCAAATTGTTGCTATGTTTTAGGATGTGAAATAAAATCTTTCTAAAACATGGTTTTCGTTGTCGAAGCACCAACAGGACATTTTGGGATCTGAAATGTAATTTCTTAGAATCTGTACTTAACATTTCAGGCTTGTATTTAATATAATAAATAGGTGTTTGTTATTGTGTCAATCTGTTATTTTTATATTTTACAATACAAGCATTTAGTTCTACTTCAATGAAATTAGCGGTTTGGGGTAGTTTACACAGAGGTCAGTTATATATATATTGCATGGTTAATTGTATTGATATTGGCACGTAAATCAAAGTGATGTTTGGGTTGCTGTATTTTATAAGTCTAGTTTTAATGCTACCAGGTTTTAAAAGGATCTCTCAGGATGTTTTTTGAAAATGGAAATGCCTAAAAAATTCCCTACATTGCATTAATTTTGCATTATTCCTTGGATCCTGTTAATACTATTTTCAACATGGTTGTGGCCTTTTCATTGCTTTATATTTGGGCTTAAGTTTCTTACTGTTTTTGGTGGGGCCAGGTAGGGGTGATTCCTACACAAAAGTTATTCTTGAATGCAAATGGAGAGCTACCATTTAAGGTTCACATTCTTCCATATTGGCTCTTATGCTCACTTTTATTTTGTACTTTGGCATCTCTCTAATCTGTGGAATGGAAGGCAGAGTTACAGTTTTATAGGGTAATTAGTTTTCTTTTCAGCAGTACTAACATGTTAAAGGATTTTAGTAACTAGGTACGATGAAGGAACAATATATGGACAAATGTATCACAGATACTGCCTTTATCCACCCAGTGCAAGATTTGGGGCTATGTCTCAGGAAGGAGCAAACGCAAAATTAAGATTGACTGACCCAGGAGTATCCATCCTGGACGGATAAAGTTATCTAAGGAACAGATCAAGTTCCTTAGATTCATGTGGAAGTATTGATTAAATCCCATTCCAAAATTCTAAAAACAGCTGTGCTGCAAAAGTTCTCACTCACTGGTCTTCGCTACACTACAGCCTAACCCATCCCCAGTCCGGAGTCTCACTGGGGTTCTCAGTTTCCTCGTATGCAAGACAACGTCTGCAACATTGACACAGCTTTGATCTCTTTTCAGTGGAAGTCTAAAGGTTTGAATCAGATCGGATTCAAAAATACATATTCAAGAAATGCTAAAAAGAGTCAAGCCGTTTAGCTTAGTAAACTTTAAATTCTGAGAGATTAACTGCTTATGTAGAGAGAACGATTCTCTGAGCCATCATGAGATTACCCATTCTAGTGTAAATGTTCACTTTTCACTGGGTTACTGCATTAGAAATGTTATTTTGCTTGACAATAATAAAACCGATAGTTTTAAGCCTTTTAGGTTTGAGTTTTAGAGACGTTCTTTTCTGGAAGGGGAAATAAAGTAGCCAGTGGATAGATTTGGAAATACTTCCTGGTTTATGGTCTCCTGGTAAATTGATACATTATGTACCAGATGGTGTTTGGAAATGACAAAGATAAGCTAATAAGAAATGGAGTGAATAATTCTTATTTATCACCATTTTTTTATTTGCTCAGTGTTTAACCTGTTTGACCTGCTGGTCAGCTGTATCTAGGGAGATAACTTTCTTCTTCTTTTTCCTACCTCTGCAAAGGAAGTGAGGAATTTTCCTTCCCGGAAGATGTTGCCCATTCAGAAAACATGTATTCATTTAAACATGCCTTATTTTAGGTAACAGACGAGGTGCTGCGGGTGGGGAAGGACTGGAAAAGAAATCAAACACTTGGAAGACGATGAAGATTCCACTGAAAATGTTCAAGGGGATTTTGTTCCTCATAGCGTGGAGAGGGATGAACGATCCCTTACTCATCCTTAGTATTTCAATTCGAGTTTTGATATTTGTGTATAGGAAGTGAGTAATATATTCCCTCCACCTTTGTCATTTATGATTTATAACTGAGATTGTCTATTTTTCATAGAATTTTAAACTGTTAAATGTTTCCGTTTTCTTAGAGATCACAGCATGATCATTTTCCTAATTTAAGAAATTTGACAAGATCCAAAGAATTCCTGACTTGCTGGACATGCTGGCAGGTTATACCGTGCCCACGGCTAGAACCATGTTTGCCAATGCGGAGGCCACCATGCTTGGCAACACATTTCATTGCTTTTACAGTGTTTATTATCTATAATTGTATCAGACTTTATTCTTATCCTAGTTGTTTTGAGTGTTTAGTTTCATAATAAGGTATAGTTGGTTATATTCTACTTAAGGAAGCATTTATGATTCTTTTATTTCATGACTTTTTTTTAAGAGTTGAGGTCTCACTCTGTCGCGTAGAATGGAGTGCAGTGGGGATCATGGTGCACTGTAACCTCGAGCTCTTGGGGTCAAGCGATCCTCCCACTTCAGCCTCCTGAGTAGCTAGAATTACAGGAACAAGCCAGCAGCCTGGCTATTTTTCTTTTTATTTTTGTAGAGATGGGTCTCGCTGTGTTGCCCTGACTGGTCTCAAACTCCTGGCCTCAGGTGATCCTCCCACCCTTGCTTCCCAAAGTGTTGAGATTATAGGTATGAGCCACTGAGCCCAGCCAAAAGTTATTTTCTTAATGTAAACATATCTACATATTATATACATAATGTTATATACTAACCTGATTTTTAGGTAACAATTAGATTTGTGTATGAGTATTTTTGTGACAAGGTTTATATACTAATGTAAACGTATATTAATATTTCAGCTCATTAATAGGTGGCAACTGATTTTTAAATTTCAGGATAGTTTGGATAAATGTAACAATGTAACTATATCTACGTTTAATATATTTATATTAGTAATATATACAGATGGCAACTTAGGTATAGATGCTGATTGGAGTCTATACATAAGTCACATTATAGAGAATCAACAATGTTAGAACAGACTTACATGTTTCAAGCATTGAGTTCAGAATGCCCATACTGAAGTTGGTGGAGAACATAAAAAATGAGGAAGTAAAAACATTAACTGAAAACATCTGATGCAGGAATTTAACTAAATCATCAAGGAAAGTGAGGCATGCAACAGCAATCCAAAATTTAAAACAAATCTTAATTCTGTTTTTCTTTTTGGATTCCAATAATCATTTAGTTATTTTAATATTGACCCCAGTGCTTTTATCTGAGAGGTGATTTGATTGTTCATAATCACTTAATGATGTTTTCCAAATTTGAGTCATTTCATGACTTTTGCTAATTTTGTTGTATTTTTGTTAGCACTTTTATTAATACTGTCACGTGGATTATTGCTTATATTGAAATATAAGCAATAGTAAACTCAATAGATTTGTTTGTATAAACAAAGCAAACTCCTTAAGGAGAAATTTTTCATTGTTTGTAATCTGCCAGTGCTAAAAATATGACCACATGTTGCTAGGTCTTAGACGAAGGTGAGATTGTAACCAATAAAATTCTGTTTTTTGTTTTTTGGTTTTTTTTGTTTGTTTGTTTTAGTTTTGGTATGAACTCTCTTGAACCCTTCTAACCTACTCAGATCAGTTTACAGCCATGTCTTTTATTAGCCATTAGAAGCTCCTAAGCAGTGGTTTTAACTGGGCTGTGGGAGACATTGATTGATAAACATGTACAGTGTGTATTAACTTAGTTGTTGTAGGCTGATAAACGTGGTCTTTCCACCTTTTTTGTAGACCTGACCCAGCTTTGTATTATGTGAGGCCCCAGGCAGCCTTTGGTTAAAGCTTTTTTCCAGCCTCCTTTCACTGGACATGCCAGAGGCTTAGAAGTAGATACTGAATGTGAATTTACAGGTATTATACTATTTCTTACATAGTATTAAGAAGCTATATTTGTAGAGTCATTGATGGAGATGGACCACTACCTTCTCTCATAAAATTGAATGCTTGTAATTACTTGCTGGCTGTTATTTGCTGCTGCCATCTGGTTTAAGAAGACACTGATGAAGACCTATATCAGGTATTTTCAAAAAATTCAAAATGTATTCAGAAGACTCTTCAGATGCATTCCAAAGAATGCAACAAATCACATCTTCAATTTTGTAATCAGTGTGTTCACCCTGTTTTGGCATATAAGACTAATGTAGGTTTGCTTTTATGGATAAATTTCTATTGTTCTAATCAGAACCTATATTTGCAAGACATGGTTGCTTGCAAAGCTGGGTTTGGTTATGAGTACTGTGAAAGGAAAATTAATCTCAGGACCCGCGAATCACAAAGCCAAAGGGAAAAGTCAAGCTGGGAACTGCATTGGGCAAACCTGCCTCCCATTCTATTCCTAAAATAAGATAGCTATGAAGATTAAAAAGCTACATACTTCCCTCACAATGTGCCCACAAGGAAATTCCTTGTGGACAAAGGACAGACAGAACTCAAAGTCATCCCTCTGCTCATGTGAGACAAATGCATATCTGATTGCTTCCTTTGCCCTGTTGTTTCACTAAGCCAGACTAAAGCATTGGTGGTTATTCCTGTAAATTGTGTATTCAGTGAAAGGGTAATCAGAAATGCAAAAGAATGCAATAGTTTGTCTCTTATCTACCTATGACCTGGAAGCCCCCTCCTGGCTTTCCAGACCGAGTTGTACCACATTTTCATACCAAATGTACATCTTACACATATTGATTGATGTCTCATATCTCCCTAAAATGTAAAAATCCAAGCTGTACCCCTACCTCCTTGGGCACATGTCATCAGGACCTCCTGAGGCTGTATTATGGGCACATCCTTAACCTTGGCAAAATAAACTTTCTAAATTGGCACCTGTCTCAGGTATTTTGAGTTCACAGTGTTACCAGAAAGGGGTCCTGATCCAGACCCCAAGAGAGAGTTCTTGGATCTCATGCAAGAAAGAATCCAAGGCAAGTCCACAGTGCAAAGTGAAATGAAGTTTATCAAGAAAGTAAAGAAATAAAAGAATCGGCTACTCCATAGAGCAGCCCTGAAGGCTGCTGGTGCACATTTTTATGGTTATTTTTTGATGGTATGCTAAACAAGGAGTGGATTTTTCATGCCTCCCCTTTTTAGACCATATAGGGTAACTTCCTGACATTGCCATGACATTTGTAAACTGTTGTGGTGCTGGTGGCAGTGTAGCAGTGAGGATGACCAGAAGTCACTCTTGGCCATTTTGGTTTTAGTGGGTTTTGGCTGGCTCCTTTACTGCAAACTGTTTATCAGCAAGGTCTTTATGACCTGTATTTTGTGCTGACCTCCAACCTCATCCTGTGACTTAGAATACCTTAACCGTCTGGGAATGCAGCCCAGTAGGTTTCAGCCTCATTTTACCCAGCTCCAACCCAGCTCCTGTTTAAGTTGGAGTTGCTCCAGTTTACATGCCTCTGACATTTCCACCCTCTCTTTTATAAGAGAACCCTTAATCCTAAAGGTTGTAGAGGGACGAAGATCCATATTCTGTAACTTCTTCAGGCTGAATAGAAGCGATGATATTCCTGCCTAACTATTAGGGTCTCTTGTGTTTGGGGTAGACAGGAGCTCAATCAGAAAGCATCACTATGGCGAGGGCCATTTATGACTCTTGAGTTTCGACAAGAGGTGATATCTGGAAGATTAATAAGTGTTCAGTTTAAGAAAACATTCAGTAAGCTTGTCCTGTATTCCTACACAAAGAGTATAACAGCAACATATTCCATAAAAGTAAAGCAAAATAAGTAAAGTTATTCCAAGTAAACGAAATTAGAAGGTTTTTTATGAACTGGGCAGCTGTTGAAACTAAGCTGGTATGGGGTTGTTAGTTGATTGTAACGTGCCCAGAATTAAAATGCTGATCCAGATTTTTATATTACCCATCCCTCTTGTTTCTTCTGAGCAGCAGTCAGAGATCACTGGCTGGTTCACAGGAATAAGCAGGGTTAGCCTAAATTGCAGAGACAAACTTAAAAACAACAAACGAGACTAGAATTTAATAACAAGCGTACCATAGTTCTTGAAACATAATAATTTTCTCTCCAGTTTCCTATTTTTACTAAGACAAATTATAGTAAGACTGATTTGCTTTATTATAATTGGCCTGATTATTTGTATAAAGTACAGCAAGAATAGTTATTTTTCACATAGGCTTTTTAATTGGCTTTAAAGGAACTCTGTTACATAAGGAATCTCAGATAAGACTTTTTTAAAGCCGAGCCCCTCCATGAGTTTTTACCCTCAAATGCTTATAAGTTGGATAAATTCCTTTCTTTTTGAGGTCCCAAGATAACTTTGGGCTCCTGGGCCTGTGAGAAAGTGACGTTCTTTAATTACCATAGTTCAGAAACCCTATACAGGGACTGTATAGGCAAAATATGAGTCCAGTTCCCCAGAGGGTTTTTATTGTCCCTACAAGTCAGGTTTGATTCCTTAAAGGAAAACATACCATTCCAGTCAAAGCCTTGGTAAAATAACCAATTTCTCCAATTGTCTCCTGTTACAAAAGAAAATAGATTCTTATTAAACTTACGCAAGTAACTGTATTGCCATAAATTAAGAATACTCACAGTTTCCAAATTTTGGAGAAGTCAGGCAGAGAGAAACAAATATGCTCCAAATTTTGTTCACAGGAGGATATTTTACTCAATTGCTAAAAGTTGTAAATAGCTCAAAAGTATTCTTAACTCTGAAAAGCAAAACAAAGGATCAGCAGCATTTTAAGCAAAGTTAAAAAGATTACACTTCTTCAGTTTAGTACATGTAGTTAACTTCTATTTGATAGTTATGAACATTTCAGCTCTCTGTGAGAGTTCTGAGAGTTTTTCTTTATTCTGATGTCACAATCTACAAAGTTATCAGAAAACCTGCATTTAAGAACACCTGCTAGAGTTCTATGGTTGATTATAAATCACCTTCTAAAAAGGATTAAAACACAATGATTGTCTGAGCGATTGTGGAAGTTTTAGGACAGCCACTATTAAGGCCACAATTGATAAGGAAATTTGGTTACTTCTGTGGCACACAAAATTCTACAGAACAATGATAATTATTAACACACTAAATCATATTAGAATTATCAGGAGTTTCCCATAACTTTGGAACATATACCAATAACACATTTATGTAAATATAGTCAAAGAAAGCAAAACACTTTCACATTTGATAATGCTTCCTGTATGATTTTTATACCAAATAAGCCAAATTTTACCTTTACATTAATGTACTATTAATTTGAAACCCAAGTTTTAATAAAATCATATGGACATATTTACCCAATTTTAATGTTTAACCATAAGATTCTTATAAAACTTTTATAACCCTTTATTTTTGTGAAAGAGCAGATTAGTGCTCTGAGGAAAACCTGTGGTGCTTTTATTCCAATGTTTAATTTTTGAAAAAACTGAGTAATACCCCTTTAATTTTAGCCAATATGTTTGCACACAGAATCTCTCACAATTTTTTCAAACCTTCCACAACTGTTCAAACCTTTAGCTTTATTCTAACTTAAAACAATTCTTTAACCTTTTAGGCAAAAAATCCACATTCTCATGCCTTCTTATAATATTTACCAAAAGTACATTTTACTTTTTTTACACACCCTGAATGTAAAACTGTTTTCTTCAATAGTCTCAATTACATGTTACAATGTTAACTTTTAGCAACTTTTACTTTTGATGAAAACCCTGGTTAGTAAGAAATTTTAATTGTGTACTAGGTGTGGTGCCTAACCTAGGACACACCAGGCAGAACTGCAGATAAGAGCTGATGCTCCAGCATAGCTAGGGGATGTGGCTAAGTCCACATGTCCCCAGACCTTATCTAGAATCTAATGGCTTTAAAGTAGGTAAATTGTTATGATTTCCATTCTTTTGCATTTGCTGAGGAGTATTTTACTTCCAATTATGTGATGAATTTTAGAATAAATTATGTTACGCAGTGGTGAGAAGAATGTATATTCTGTTTATTTGGGGTGGAGAGTTCTGTAAGTGTCTCTTAGGTCTGCTTGGTCCAGAGCTGAGTTCAAGTCCTGAATACCCTTGTCAATTTTCTGTTTCATTGATCTGTCTAATATTGAGGGTGAGGTGTTAAAGTCTCCCACTATTATTGTGTAGGAGTCTAAGTCTCTTTGTAGGTTCCTAAGAACAGCGCAATCAAGTTAGAACTCAGGATTAAGAATCTCAGTCAAAACTGCACAACTACATGGAAACTGAACAACCTGCTCCTGAATGACTACTGGGTAAATAATGAAATTGAGGCACAAATAAAGTTCTTTGAAACCAATGAGAACAAAGACAGAATGTACCAGAATCTCTGAGACACAGCTAAAGAAACGTTTAGAAGGAAATTTATAGCACTAAATGCCCACAGGAGAAAGCAGGAAAGATCTAAAATCGACACCCTAACATCACATTAAAAAAAACGAGAGAAGTCCGAGCGCGGTGGCTCACACCTGTAATTCCAGCACTTTGGGAGACTGAGGAGGGCGGATTCTGAGGTCAGGAGATCGAGACCATCCTGGCTAACACGGTGAAACCTCGTCTCTACTAAAAATAAAAACAGCCAGGCGTGGTAGTGGGTGCCTGTAATCCCAGCTACTCCGAAGGCTGAGGCAGGAGAATGGCATGAACCTGGGTGGTGGAGCTTGCAGTGAGTGGAGATCGCACCACTGCACTCCAACCTGGGTGACAGAGCGAGACACTGTCTCAGAAAAAAAAAAAAAAAAAAAAAAAAAAACTACAGAAGAAGAGCAAACAAATTCAAAAGCTAACGGAAGACAAGACATAACTAAGATCAGAGCAGAACTGAAGGAGATAGAGACACGAAAAACCTTTCAAAAATCAATGAATTCAGGAGCTGCTTTTTTGAAAAGATTAACAAAATAGATAGACCAATAGCCAGACTAATAATGAAGAAAAGAGAGGAGAATCAAATAGACACAGTAAAACATGATGAAGGGGAGATCACCACTGATCCCACTGAAATACAAACTACAATCAGAGAATACTCTAAACTCCTCTACACAAATGAACTAGAAAATCTAAAAGAAATGGATAAATTCCTAGACACATAAACCCTCCCAAGACTGAACCAGGAAGAATTCGAATCCCTGAATAGACCAATAACAAGTTCTAAAATTGAGGCAGTAATTAATAGCCTACCAACCAAAAAAAGCTCAGGACCGGACAGAGTCACAGGCAAATTCCACCGGAGGTACAAAGAGGAGGTGGTACTGTTCTTTCTGAAACTATTCCAAACAATAGAAAAGGAAGAACTCCTCCCTAACATATTTTATGAGGCCAGCATCATCCTGACACCAAAACCTGGCAGAGACATAACAAAAAAAGAAAATTTCAGGCAAATATCCCTGATGAACATTGATGCAAAAATCTTCAATAGGCCGGGTATGGTGGCTCATGCCTGTCATCCCAGCACTTTGGGAGGAGGAGGTGGGCAGATCATGAGGTCAGGAGATAGAGACCATCCTGGCTAACACGGTGAAACCCCATCTCTACTAAAAAATAGAAAAAATTAGCCGGGCGAGGTGGCAGGCGCCTGTAGTCCCAGCTGCTCGGGAGGCTGAGACAGGAGAATGGCGTGAACCCGGGAGGCGGAGCTTGCAGTGAGCTGAGATCGCGCCACTGCACTCCAGCCTGGGTGACAGAGCAAGACTCCATCTCAAAAAAAAAAAAAAAAAAACAACTTCAATAAGATACTGGCAAACCTAATCCAGCAGCACATCAAAAGGCTTATCCACCACGATCAACTTGGTTTCATCCCTGGGATGCAAGCCTGGTTCAACATATGCAAATCAATCAGCATAATCCATCACATAAACAGAACCAATGACAAAAACCACATGATTATCTCAATAGATGAAGAAAAGGCCTTCAATCAATTAAACACTTCTTCATGCTAAAAACTCTCAATAAACTAGGTATTGATGGAATGTATCTCAAAATAATAAGAACTATTTGTGACAAACCCACAACCAATATCATACTGAATGGGCAAGGCTGGAAGCATTCCCTTGGAAAACCAGCCCAAGGCAAGGATGCCCTCTCTCACCACTCTTATTCAACACAGTGCTGGAAGTTCTGGCCAGGGCAATCAGGCAAGAGAAAGAAATAAAGGTATTCAAATAGGAAGAGAGGAAGTCAAATTTTCTCTGCTTGTGGATGACATGATTGTATATTTAGAAAACCCCATTGTCTCAGCCCAAAATCTTCTTAAACTAATAAGCAACTTCAGCAAAGTCTCAGGATACAAAACCAATGTGCAAAAATCACAAGCATTCCTGTACACAATAATAGCCAAATCATGAATGAACTCCCATTCATAATTGCTACAAATATAATAAAATGCCTAGGAATACAACTTACAAGGGATGTGAAGGACCTCTTCAAGGAGAACAACAAACCACTGTTCAAGCAAATAAAAGAGGACACAAATGGAAAAAACATGGATAGGAAGAATTAATATTGTGAAAGTGACTGTACTGCCCAAAGTAATTTATAGATTCAATACTATCCCCATCAAACTACCATTGACTTTCTTCACAGAATTAGAAAAAACTACTTTAAACTTCATATGGAATCAAAAAATGCCACTATAACCAAGACAATCCTAAGCAAAAAGAACAAAGCTGGAGGCATCACGCTACCTGACTGCAAACTATACTACAAGGCTATAGTAACCAAAACAGCATGGTGCTGGTACCAAAACAGATATGTAGACCAATGGAACAGAATAGTGACCTCAGAAATAATGCCACACATTTACAACCATCTGATCTTTGACAAACCTGATAAAAACAAGCAATGGGGAAAGGATTCCGTATTTAATAAATGGTGTTGGGGAAACTAGCTAGCTATATGCAGAAAACTGAAACTGGACCCCTTCCTTACTACCTTATACAAAAATTGACTCAAGATGGTCAAACTTAGTTTGACCTTAAAGCATTTAACAAATCTGATATTTGACCTTAATTTAGACCAAATGTCTACATTTTCAAGTCATTTTATTTTACCAATAATATTTAAAACTGTCTTTATTTCCAAAAGATTACGGATGTCATATGAAGAAAAAGGCATTAAAGTTTGTATTTTTCTGACAAAATATTTAAGTGCTTATTTTTTAAGCCAATTAATTAGAGCTCTTTTAGATGTAAACATATAACACATAAATAGAAGATTTACCACTTGTAAGATTCTTTATTTGCCAGTTTCTTAACTGTATTACTGTATTATCAGGGTGGAGCCCTTGGAGCAACAGGGCCAGGAAAGCATGTGTTTCTAGGGCCAAATTAAGCAGCAAATAAGCAGCTGAAGGCAAAGACAGATCCCCAAAATTAAGGGTGCCATTTTACACTGGATCCTGGATCCCCAAAAGGAGAGAATACTATGGGAGAAGACAGTGCAGTGCTTCTACCCTGCATTTCATTGCAAGGCAACCCAAAGCTAATCAGCCCATTTTCTAATCACCTGTCCCTCATGGGAGTCTCATCTCCCAGGATGGGGTGGGGATGTTTCCTTATCTTCCAGGTGGCCAAGAGCATGCTTCTTGATCCAAGCGTACAAAGAGTCAAGTATTCTTCCATAACTGCTATTAACCATCCCTTAAAGTATATTTCCTACCTAGTTGTTACACACCAAAGCCCTCTCATAATGCAAAGTAATTTCTGATGCTCCCAAAACTCAAAACTGTCAGATAACACAATGCAAGAAAGAACAGAGCCTTTCATTTTGAGAGGGATCTGTTTTTAATTCCTGAGGTTTCATGAGGAAAACGGAAGTTTTTTGTTTGTTTTTGTTTTTCCCCAAAATGGGATCTG